CTTCTCTGGCTCTCCTTCTCTCTATATAAATCTGCCTTTCAAAAAAACTTTTAAAACACTTTTAAGTTATTTATTAGAAAGATAAATAAGTAATAAGATAGATAAATAAAAATACTTCTTGTCACAGAGAGAGGGAGAGAGACCTTACATCTGCTGAAATCTTCATTCCTCAAATGGCTGCAGTTTGAAGGCTGGGTCAGGCTATAAAGCCAGGAGCCAGAAAGTTCCTCTCTTTCTCCCACAAGGCCCAGGCACTTGAATGATCTTCCATAGTTTTCCCAGGCGCATTAGCAGGAAGCTGTGTTGGAAGTGGAACAGCTGAGCGTGGAGTCACTGCTCATATGGGATACCAGTGTCTCAGGTGGTGGTTTTGTCTGCTTCACTACACCTGCTCCTGTGTTCTGAATTTTTATTCTAGTTTCTCTAAACAATTATATTCCAGAGGCGAGAGTTGTGGTGGCATAGCTCATAAAGCCAAATCATTTTATTCTATTTTTATATTTGGCTTACCATTTTTCTATTAATTTACTGTTTTATTGTTCTTACATAAAAAGTATATATTATGATAATCTCTCTTTTTTGACCTTGAGAGAGTTCTCCTCCCCAAAACATACCCCTGTTTTCAGTTCTTAAAATTTGCTTTAGAAATATTCTTTGCATAGGTGTGTGATTGTGTATACAGGTATCTATAAATATTCTCTACATTCTTTAGATATGGGGTTTTCCAAAAGTTCATGGGAAATACATGTTATGGAAAAAAAAATCATGTGTAGAATGCAAACTTTTTTTGCACCTTTTGTCTGTTTATTTTTGGTTTTTAATTTGAGAGGCAGAGAGACAGACCTGCTCACTAGTTCACTAGTATGTGTGTGGTGTGTGTGTATGTAGTTATTCTCATTATCCAGGGTCACTTCCCAACTCCTTTTGTTCATGAAAGTTATTTAGGCTATTCTATCTTTGATGTATCAGGCATTAATTATAAATAGATCCAATAATTATTGCTTATCTGTTAGTTTAAGATATTCTTGTATGCATGGTTAAAATCATCTTTCACAGAAATCAGAGAATTTGATGTTTTCTCAAGCTTATGATTAAAAATGGATTGTTTTAGTAACATGTTACCAATATACCAATAATTTATCATGCTTTCCTAGAAGCAGATGAGACTTAACGCTAGGAGCAACAAATAATGTTTATTTCATAATAACAGAAAGTCAGAATTTTTACTTTAAGGAATTACTGTGTGAAATAGAGTAATACTATGAAAATTAAGAATATCCAGCATTCTCTTCATCTTAGTCCATCATCTTCACTGTCATTTTGTTGTTAGTGCCGTGATCATCTGTAATAACCAGTTAAGTCTTTTTCTGAGCTCAGGCAGTAACTAGGGGTGGGCGTTGTAGTCCCACTTCCGCTGCCATTCCAGCTTTATACTCATGCTGCTTTATACTCATGCAACAAAGGGCAACCCAAATAACTGGGCTGATGCCACCTGTTTGGGAGACCAGGCTGCTCCTTTTGGCATTTTGCCTGACCTGGCCTTGGCTATTACAGGCACATTGGGAATGAATGGAAGGAAGATCTGTAATTCTCTCTCTCTCTGTCACTCTTCCTTTCAAATAAATAAGTATTTTTTTTAAAGAAATAGCTATTTTATCTAGTTAACAGTCTCATGAGAACATCAGACTCAATCAACAGCTGTTTGGTTGCCAATAGGATCTTCAGTATAACCAACTGAAGGCAGAACCTACTAATGTACTAATCGCTTTCATTGTTAGATAACAATGATGTGATTTTTAAGTTTTGGGGACTGAATGTTTTAAGTATTAGCTTCTGTGCTTTTATCTTCTTATTCTAATGTACAAAAATGAACTAGAAAGTTTCGAAAAAGGCAAACCAGGGACCAGTTTTGTACTGCAGTGGTTTAAGATGCCTCTTGCAACACTAGCATCCTGTGTAGACTCTAGTTCAAGTCCCAGCTGTTCTACTTTCTATCTGACTCCTGGGGAAGACAACAGAAGACACTCCAAGTGCTTGGGCCCGTACACCCACATAGAAACCCAGATGGAGTTCCAGGTGCCTGGCCTCAAACTGGTACAGCCTCCATTGTTGTAACCATTTGGGGAATGACCCAGAGGTGCAAGATCTTTGCCTTTCATTCATTCCCTCTCATAACGCTTTCAAATAAATGAGAAAAAAAAAAGCTTTAAAAACAAGTGAACAGGGCCCGGCGCGGTGGCGCAGTGGTTAAGGTCCCCTCGCCTTGCATGCCCAGGATCCCATATGGGCACCGGTTCTAATCCCGGCAGCCCCGCTTCCCATCCAGCTCCCTGCCTGTGGCCCGGTAAAGCAGTCGAGGATGGCCCAAAGCTTTGGGAACCTGCACCCGCGTGGGAGACCCCGAAGAGGCTCCTGGCTTCGGATCGGTATAGCATTGGCCGTCGGGCTCACTTGGGGAGTGAATCATCGGACGGAAGATCTTCCTCTCTGTCTCTGCTCTCTGTATATCCGCCTTTCCAGTAAAAATAAAATAAATCTTAAAAAAAAAAAAAGTGAACAATTTCAAGCAAAGTATAGTGACAAAATTGTATAATATGTAATATTACTCTGATTTTATATTAAAGCAAATTATTTTTCCTGAGCTCATTTAGCAATTTTTGTTTTGGGACTGAGGAACATCCCATGGATTTATCTTAGAGATATTAAGGTATTTTACACAAGAAAAACCTATGCATGGATTTCAGAAATTTTTGCACCAAGCTAAACTATGTTTTCATTCCATTTTTCCATAAACTTTTATGAACTATTCTTTTATTTGAGGTGTGATTTTAGTAAATGATACTTTTTGTTTTTTGAAAAGCAGTTACAAAGGGAGAATGAGAGAGAGAGAGATTTTCCAATATCTGGTTCATTCCCCAAATGGCTGCAATGACTGGAGCTGGGCTGGTCTGAAGCCAGGAGCTTCTTCCAGGTCTCACATGTGGGTGCAGGGACCCAAGCATTTGGGTCATTTTCTGCTGCTTTTCCAGGATCATTACCAGGAAGCTGATCTGGATTGGAGTAGCTGGGACATGAACTGGTGTCCGGATGGGGCAATGCAGCATCACGAGGCCATGGTGCCAGCTCCAGGAAATGATATTTCTATGAGAAGAATTGTAAATGAGTCAGTAACCACCCTGTTCAGGAGTCCAGTGCTGTACTTTCTGGTTTTAGTATTTTCATTTTGAAATTATTTGCAGACAAATAAGTCCTGTTTAGGAATATTTTGAGTCCTTCTGTTAATGTTTTAGTATGTACTGGGTTGGAGTTATATAACTTGTTAGATTTCTAAAAATAAGTTGCATTGCATATGTGAACAAAATTCTTCCCCACAGTATGTATTTCTGATTTGGTCATGGAAAAAGCATGCCTGGAATGGAATAGGTGAATGACTCAGCTGCAATAGCTCTGGGTAAATGAAGCTGGGCTAGGGCAGCTCTGGTAAAGGAAGCGTGTCAATATGGCATGTTTTTTTTCTAGTATAATTATGTAACATTGTACCATCTAGAACCATCAATGAGGACTCTGAGGCCTTTTCTCCCTTCATCATTTAAGTCAGGGTCCTTATTTTCCTTTAGGAGACTCCCCTTATATCAACCATAGAAAACAATCAGAAGACTTTTTTCATTTAGCTTATATTTCTGAAAAAAATAATACACCCTAAAGAATTTTAAAATTTCAAATCTATCTGTTAAGCGTATGAACACATAAATCTTGGATTCGCTTTTGATTTTTCACTTATATCTTACATTTAAACTACAAACTAAGAGAAGCCAATGGTTAATATAAACATTAGGATTCTCCTCATGATCTTAAAAACTGTATTTTGCGGGCCCAGCGCGATGGCACAGTGGTTAAGGTCCTCGCCTTGCACGCCTGGGATCCCATATGGGTGCCAGTTCTAATCCTGGCAGCTCCACTTCCCATCCAGCTCCCTGCTTGTGGCCTGGGAAAGCAGTCGAGGACAGCCCAAAGCTTTGGGACCCTGCACCCGTGTGGGATACCCGGAAGAAGTTCTATACATATGTACATACTTACCTTTGAAGGATGCTTGGATTGTGAGTCATTTTTTTTAGATATGGCAACCTGATGGGGTATTTCAAAAAGCAGTATTTGTCTTCCAGTTATAAAAAGAAAGAGGGCCCGGTGTGGTAGACTAGAGTCTAAAGTCCTTGCCTTGCACATGCCTAGCTGGATCCCATATGGGCGCTGGTTCTAAGCCCTGCTGTCCTGCTTCCCATCCAGCTCCCTGCTTATGGCCCGGGAAAGCAGTCGAGGACAGCCCAAAGCCTTGGGACCCTGCACCCATGTGGGAGACCCAAAAAAGGCTCCAGCCTCTTGGCTTCAGATCAGCTCAGCTCTGGCTGTTGCAGCCACTTGGGGAGTGATCAATGGACGGAAGATCTTCCTCTCTATATATCTGACTTTCCAATAAAAATATATAAATCTTTAAAAAAATGAATGAAAGAATATAATCTTTTCTTTCAAAGATTTATTTTTATTGCAAAGTCAGATTTACAGAGAGAAGGAGAGACAGAGGGATTCTCCATCCACTGTTCACCCTCCAGGTGGCTGCAACAGCCAGAGCTAAGCCAATTCGAAGCCAGGAGCCTCTTCTGGGTGCCCCATGTGGGTGCAGGGTACCAAGATTTTGGACCATCCTCATCTGCTTTCTCAGGCCATAAGCAGGAAGCTGGCTGGGAAGCAAGGCCACCAAGATTAGAACCAGCACTCATAATGGATCTCAGCATGAACAAGGCAAGGACTTTAGCTGCTAGGCTACAGCACAAGGCCCAACATTCTTAATGTGCTTAAATGCCAACCTGCACTATTTGGCACATACACAGAGAATAAACTGAACTGTTTATATGTGGTTTGTTTTTAGGATTTTCAGTCTAGAATGTGTTTTTTTTTTTAATTTTTTAATTAATATCTCTACATTCTTGCCATAATTGTCTTAGGTCCACAGGCTATTCGGAGGTTATAGTTGTTGTTGGAGGCTGTGAACGAGTTGGAGGATTTAATCTTCCGTACACTGAGTGCTATGATCCTGTAACGGGAGAATGGAAGTCTTTGGCTAAGCTTCCAGAATTTACCAAATCAGAGTATGCGGTCTGTGCTCTAAGGAATGACATTCTCGTTTCAGGTAAATAAAGAATTATTGTAGTAGCCACTTTTGATTTTATACATAGTTTTGCTCTTTGAAACAATACCAGTGTTTTTTAAAAAAAAGTGAAAAAAAGTATGAATATTCCTGCTTGAAACCACTCAGTTATAAAACAATAAAACTCCAAGTAACTTTTTGCTCTTAAAAAAGTGATAAGGTGATACATAATGATTTGCAAAGTATTCATCAGAAAATACTTTCAGTGATGCATAATGATTTACAAAATATTCACCAGAAAATATCTTTAACATAGCATATTTTAAATACTTTCAAATATATATAACATATGATGCAGTTTTTAAAACCTTTTACCTACTTAACTTTGTTTTGAAGAATATAGTAAGTTATGCAAAATCTAAAGTACTCATGGAATTAAGCTTCTCTGATTTATTCTGAAGTTTTCCCCCAAAGTTTATAAAACAGGATTTTTCATAAAACTTCTGAACTTGAGCTGCTTGTAGTGTATGTAGTATGTTGCCTCTAAAATCAGATTGACAGTGAAAGGACAGACTCATATAAAGCCTGGCTGGCAGTTGTTAATAACAGCGTTGCCAGCTTTGCACATGATCACATTACTGCTCAGTGAGTGACATAATCACATCGTCTTTGTTTTGTGTGACAATGTACTCTTTTTAAAATGCACGATTAAAAAGAATGTTTTTAGAATACTCCTGTTCAGGCGCTTCTGTTACTTTACTTCCAAAGTAAAAATCTTATGATGTTGTAATACATTCTGTATTTTATTGTTTTGGACTTGCCTATAATTATTGCTTCTCAAGATAAAAAAAGGAGGGGGGTGCAAAATTGAAATCTGTTTTACAAAACTATCTGTTCAGTTTAAGAGGGTCATTATTTCATCTGTTGAACTGATTTACCAAATTCTTGAATGAAAGAATAAATCCCGTGTTTTCGAGATCCATGCCTTGGTGTGGCATGCATCCCTTGGTGATGGATATATGATGATCTGTTGTGCTTTGTTTTGCATTTGAAGGTGGAAGGATCAATAGCCGTGATGTCTGGATTTATAACTCACAGCTGAATATTTGGATCAGAGTTGCTTCTCTAAATAAAGGCAGATGGCGTCACAAAATGGCTGTGCTGCTTGGTAAAGTAAGAGGAACCACTTTTTTTATAACTCTTGCTCTGGTACATTTCCAAAATAAATACCACAGCTGAATCCTTCGCTGTACTCTCCGTCTGGATATTTTGGATTCAAATTGTATTTCCTTCCGTTTCTAACCTCAGAAGACAAACTAAAGATATAAACAATGTGACACTGTACTTTTAAATGGATGTTTTGTTCTCTCGATTTGGAATTCATGGCAGTACAGCACATTTCTCTGCCCTTGCCCCCACTGCAATCCAAATGCCCAAACAGAATTAGAAAGCAAAAACAGGCGAATGTCTAATCCAAGCTAATTTTTTTTTCTCTTTAGTGACTTTCTCAGTCTGGAGAGATGTATTTATCTAAACCAATGTCATTTTACCTTTTTGTTGTTCACACATGTAGTTTGAACAAGTAGGAACAAAACCAACTGAAAATAAATATTAACAAATTTGACAACTTTTTTTAAGATTTATTTCTTTTTATTTGCAAGATAAATTTTACAGAGATAGAAGAGGTAGAGGATGGGAGAGTGATCTTCCATCCACTGTTCATTGCCCAAATGGCCACAGTGGCCAGAACTAAGCTGGTCTGCAGCTGGAACCAGGGGCTTCTTGTGAGTCTCTCACATGGGTGCAGGGGCCCAAAGACTTGAGCCATCCTCCGCTGCTTTCCCAGGCCATAAGCAGTGAGCTGGATCAGAATTGGAGCAGCTAGGACACAAACCGAGACCCTTATGGGATGCTGGTCCCACTGGCAGATCAGCATGCTACGCCACTACACCAGCCCCAGTAGCATGTTTTGAAATGTGTTATTGACATCACCTAATAAATTTAAATTCTTGTCATGTTACCAAGTGATTCCTGAAGCAGTTCCATTGTTGATAAAGCCAAAGCAACAGCTTAGATGTTCTTAGATGTTTTTAAGTTAAGTGTAGGGTATGTATTAAAATTTAATATTCAAATTATCTTATGGGTAACTATTATTATTAACATTTTTTTAAAAGATCAATTTATTTTCATTGGAAAGGCAGATTTACAGAAAGAAGGAGAGACGGAGAAAAAGATCTTCCATCCCTGAGTGACCACAACAGCCAGAACTGAGTGTATCCAGAGCCAGGAACTTCATCCAAGTCTCCCATATGCCCAAGACTTTGGGCCACCCTCCACTGCTTCCCCAGGCCACAAGCAGGGTGCTGGATCAGAAGTGGAATAGCCAGGACATGAACCAGTACCCTTGTGGAAACCCAGCACTTCTAGAGATTAGCCAACTGAGCCATTGTGCTGGGCCCTATTAACATTTTTAAAAGATTTATTGCTGGAATGCAATGTGACAAGTGTCTTTTATTTCCTTGGTTCACTGCAATCACCAAGGATGGGCTACACTGAAGTCAGGAAACAGGAATTCCATCTGGGTCTGCCACATGGGTTGCAGGAACCATTATCCGCTGCTTCTCAACCATATTAGCAGAAAGCTGGATGGGAAGCAATGTAGTTACCAAATGAACCCACTCCACCACAGTGCCAACATACTACATTTTAAAATAATGATTCCCTGAGAAGATAAACTTGCCTTAAGATACCTGGCAAAGTTAGATATAAGCCCAGTTGACATGACTTCAGAGTCTGCCTTTAATTGTTGCATTGTGTGACAGATTCCATACCCTTTATTATTGCATAGCCTTAAGTTATTTAACTTCTGTGAACTGCATGGTGTAGGGGACACAAAGCCACCAACGGATCATTTTATAACACATAAGAAATACATGTTACAGGGCCCAGCGCAATAGCATAGCAGTTAAAGTCCTTGCCTTGAACATGCCAGGATCCCATATGGATACCAGTTCTAATCCTGGCAGCCCTGCTTCCCATCCAGCTCCCTGCTGTGGCCTGGGAAAGCAGTCAAGGACAGCCCAAAGCCTTGGGATCCTGCACCTGCGTGGGAGACCCAGAAGAGGCTCCTTGCTTCTGGCTTCAGATTGGTTCAGCTCCAACTATTGCGGCCACTTGGGGAGTGAACCATCAGACGGAAGATCTTCCTCTCTGTCTCTCCTACTCTCTGTGTATCTGACTTTCCAATAAATCTTAAAAAAAAAAAAATGAAATGCATGTTACAAATGGCATCGTGTCATACAAGTTAAGCATTCATTTGGGACATTGAATGTTGGAGGGCAGGTTTGACTCTGGTTAACTCCCTGCAAAAATGTCTAGAAAACAGTACCAGTGATGGCTCAAGAACTTAGACCCCTGCTGCCCATGCGGGAGACACACATGGTTTTCTAGCTTCTGGCTTTGGCCTGGCCCAGCTACAGCTGTTGCAGCCATTTGGAAGTGAACAGGGTATCTCTCTCTTTCAATCATGCTGCTTTTCAAATGAATAAATAAATCTTGAAGGTATAGGGGTAGGGGCAGGAAGAGAAGAAATACGGTAACTGCAGTGGAAAATTGGAGGAGTACAGGAAGACAAATTTTGGACAAACTTGAGAGACACACCAAAGATATTTGTCCTTGACCCTCATATTCATGTCGACCTAGTGTTAGAAATTGCTGACAATATTTTATAAAATTAGTGTCATTTTGAGAACACAAGTGTGAGCAGCATGAAGTAACATTCACCCTGAAGTAGTGTAGTGGCGATGGGAAGCAGAAAGGAACAGACAGAAGAGAAGCTGGAAGAAGATTCAGACGAATCTTTTGTGATAGGGTGGTAGAGTGAGAATGACTGTCCGTTAAAAGAAATGTGGACATTAAGTTGAATGCTTCATTAAAGGTTTCTTGTATTCCCCATGATGCTTAATGGTTTATTCTCCATGTAAGTCATTTAATAAATCATCTTATTGATTGGTTCATCTGTCATACTAATTTGCCCTATCTTCCTCATATTTGTGATAAGAAAATGTACATGAAAACTCTGTGAAATATATTGAGTTCATACGTGTCAGGTGCTTTTCTAGGCATTCTAAGGGCTAAAAAAATAGGCCGTCTTAAAATGTTTCACAACCTAGTAATGTTTACTTAATGTTTTAGTTTCCTGGTTTGATACTCTGTATTAAAATCTTTCACTATCCATGAGCATGAACAATTAAGCTTAATCATGCAGCTGTCAACAGAGCAATCTTTCCCCCAAGAGGGACAATGAAAGTTGGTTCTTGGGGCATGAAAAAAGTTTACTCTTTCACGTCTAATCCACAGACAAGCACATAATAAGAAAAACAGGTAGATAATATATGGAGCATTTAAGTTTCATGAAGGATTGCTTTTAGCCAAAATTGTCTTTAAAAGGCTCCACAGTGGTAAAGATAGAAGGGTGATTTTAAAAATACCCAGAAACTCTGAACTAAATATTTTGCAATTGTTGTCTATAATTACCAATGGCTTTAAGAGAAATCTCTTAATTCTTCAACCAATTAGTTCAAAATTCAAACTTTGATCATTAAGATTTTCCTATGTATTTTACATATAGGTATATGTTGTTGGAGGCTATGATGGGCAAAATAGATTGAGCAGCGTAGAATGTTACGATTCCTTTTCAAATCGATGGACGGAAGTTGCTCCCCTTAAAGAAGCAGTGAGTTCTCCTGCAGTGACTAGCTGTGTAGGAAAATTATTTGTAATTGGTGGAGGACCAGATGATAATACTTGTTCTGATAAGGTAAGCTGTGCTGTCTTAAAGCTATTACCAAAGACATATACAAGATGGGAAATGTACAAGGTTTAGATAGATGGGTGGATTTGGTTAGTGTGAGGGGTCTTTTAAAATTGTTCTAGTTACATTATACTGTGAGAGGGGAAGAATTCAGTTTTGGATTGCTGAAATGGGACCCTAATACTTCTAATAAGTTTCTGCAACAACTGTAATGCAATGTTTTTGAAATGAGACTAATCCCAGTGTCAAAATTCTATATGAAGTCTTAACTGCTATCACCTGCAGAGTTACTCATATAAAACACAGCTGGGAAGTGTATTAGCATAGAGTAAGACAGAGTAACTAACTGCTTCCAACTGGGTCATTTTCTGCATACGTTTATAGTATTTTTAGAACAAAGAGAAGGAAAGAAAGCTTCTGTAGTGTAAGAGGGTGGCTCCAAGTTGTTGCTGTTCATTGAACTTCTGGAACAAAAGAACATGTGCCATCCTGCAGTCTCAGGAAATGCCAGGTTTAATCTGGCAGAAGGTATTTAATGCCTACTTGGTTAGCATTGTTAACTGAACTTGTCAAATCAATAATTTTGTTTTCGAAATTACATTTTAATGTATTTTCAAATGTTATTTAATTAAGTTCATTAATTAAGAATTGATGAAAATTCAGAGACTACTGAGTTGAGATTTGTTGGGTTCTTCTGAAGAAAGGAAGGATTTCTTGAAAGTAGAAAAAAATTAAATTCAGATTTGGGGCATAGTTATCCTATATAACACATTTTTTTAATGTGGGCAGTTAATGAAAATTGTTTTTAAAAACCGGATGGTTATTTATTCTAGAAAAAGAATCTCCTTTCTTAATTCTCTGATGTAATGAGATTGCTTTAATCATGTTTATATGTATTGGTAGACTTCTTAGAAATTTTAATTAAACATTGCTTTATGTTATTAGGTTCAATCTTATGATCCAGAAACCAATTCTTGGCTACTTCGTGCAGCTATCCCAATTGCCAAGAGATGTATAACAGCTGTATCCTTAAACAACCTGATATATGTTGCTGGTGGACTGACCAAGGCAATATACTGTTATGATCCAGTTGAAGATTACTGGATGCATGTACAGAACACATTCAGTCGGCAGGTAATCACAGACCAGAAGAAAAGTAAACCTAAATGGGAGCAATTGTAGTATAACTATTAATATACTTAAATTTTACTTACAAAATCTCTCATGAATAGACAAGTTATTTTGTAATTTTATAAAGGCTCACATAAAACATATTGCACACCTGTTTTGAACTCCTTCCAGTTGTTTTATTGAAATAATTTCTTTACCATTCCAATATCAAACATCTGTTGCATTTGTCCTTGATTTCTATTTACTTTTTTTTTCCCCTCCCTTAGCCTTTGTAGAGTCCTGAACCTTTCTTATCCCTGTGCTCTTTCATATTTCAGTTGCCAAAGTATTTCTCTGGTTGGAGGCGAGGCTAGGTAATTTGCTGTTTTTACTATTTAAAAGAACAGTTATGTTCAGGTCTGTTTTATCCACCAAACTGCATGATGACTGTGATAACTGGGAATTGGACTCTACTCATACGACTGTAGAGATGGGCTCACAAAGACCACAACTCATAATCTCCTTTGGCTCATTCAGTTTCTTATTTTTTCTACTCAATCCTTAAATGTGGATGTGGGTTGGGCAGCTTTTCCTGCCCTCTTAATTTTATACTTTATCCTGAGTGATCATACCTACTTTTCAGAATTGATGACTTGAAGTCTTCATCTCCATCATAGCCTCTTTCCACTTTTCCAAGCTCAGATTTCCAGTTGCCTGTCTGAGAATTCCATAAATGTTCCAAGACTGTAGACTAGAACCCAACTTCCCAAAACTTCAAACCTACTTTTCTTAGGTTCCAAACAACTTAGAAACTTAATTTCCTCACTGTCTCTTAAATTGAGTTAATCAGTTTACCAGCCCTCTGTCCTTAGAATTTGTTTTTCCCATTACTGTTGTTCTTGTTCTTATTGTTCTTTTTTATTACTGTTGTTCTTATGTTCAAAGTTCTTATTATTTCCTATCTGAACAAAAACAATGTTCTATTAAGTCTTCGTTTGTTTAATGTCTTGTTTCTCAGCCCAGTCTTTCCACTAGTTACTTTTTAACAACTCTAAATCATCTGACTTTTGCTTGCCCTTTTATCTTTAATTGTATTATCTATCTATAGTGCATATTATATGGACAGATAATGCATATTCTTGTCTTGATTCATGCAATCCTTTTAGCCTCTAATCGCTGTTTTTACTTTCCCTTAGAATTCTCTTCCTCTTTCAGGGACTATTTAATTAACGGTTATAACAAATTAATAACCTTTTATGTCTCTCATCTGTTAGAGCACTTATACCTATGTTACGCAAGTTGTACATTCCCTTAGGTATAAAGGTTTTTTCCTGTGCTGGAATTCAGTCTTCTTAATGTATCTTTTATTTGTTTGTGTTCAGTAAATATCAAATAACTAAAAACTGAGGGAGCCAGCACTGTGGGGTAACATACTAGGCCCCTGGCAACAGTTCTTGTATCCCATGTGGGTACCAGTTCATGATCCGGCTGCTCCACTTCCTGTTCAGCTCCTTGCTCTGGACTGGGAAGGGAGCAGAGGATGGCCCAAGTCCTTGGCCTGCATCCACATGGGAGTCTCATAACAGGTTCCTGGCTTCAGGCAAAAAACCAAGTATTTGGACCATCAGCTTACTGCCTCCACCTATACTAGACTAGCAAAAAACTAGATTGGAGGTAAAGATGGACCCTGTCTCAGGCACTCTGATGCAGGATGCAGGCATCACAAATGGTGCTTTTAACCTGCTGCCCCTCCGTGCCTGCATTTTGATTTTTCATAATTTCTAAAAGCAACAACTTACTCTAAATACCTTTTGCCTTTTAATCTCTATCATGAATATCATTTTTTCAGATGTTTGAATTCTGTTTTTAACCCAATGATAAAACCCTTTTTTCCCCTTCTTTAATAGACCAGGTATTTAAAATGTCATTAAAGCTTAGAATAATTGAATGAAATCTGATAATGCTTATGCGCAAAAAATGTCATTAAAGCTTAGAAAAATTAAGTGAAATCTGATAATGCTTGTGCCCTATTAACAGCTTAACCTTTAAGGTACGGAAATACTGATTAAGGAAATAGTCTTAACATTATGTTTATGTTTCATTTCAACCTTTAAAAACAGCACTGAAACTTCATTTACTTAGAAACTATTTTTCTCACTGGCTACCTTTGTTCCTGAGTAAATAGGCAATTTCTCCTGTAGGATAAATACATCAAGAGTAAATATTTTTCACAGAATGATTTAAATTATTGTAGTTGGTAGAAGTGATTTTCCAATATGAATAATTATTTTCAAGATTGTGTGAGTTTTTGACAAACACTTATTTTTATTTGAAAAGCAGAGTTAAACAAGGAAAGACAGAAAGATCTTCAATCCACTGGTTCATTCCTCATTTGATCACAGTTGCCAGAGCTGGACCCATCCAAAGCCAGAAGCCAGGCGCGTCTTCTGCATCTCCATGCAGGTTGAGGGGCCGAGGCACTTGGGTCATCCTCCACTGCTTTTCCAGGGATATTGACAAGGAGCTGGATTGGAAGTGGAGCCTACAGGATTGAGCTGGCACCTATATGGGATGCTGGCACCACAGACAGCGGCTTAACTGGCTGTGCCACAATGCCAGCCCCTAATTTCTTCTTTTGTGAGACCTGGAAAATACTCCTGGCTCCTAGCTTCTGGCTTCTGATCAGCTCAGCCATTTAGGAAGTGAACCAGTGGAAGGCAGATCCTTCTCTGTAAATCTGCCTTCCAATAAAAATAAATCTTTTTTAAAAAGGAAAGAGTAAAATTTGTATATAGCAAATCAGCCAAGTAAAAATGTTCATTGAACTTATTGGTAAAAGCTACTTAGTTTTTGTTTATGTGGAACCAGGCTAGTAAGATACAGTAATTTGCTAAATTAAAGTGAAGTGTAAGTATAAGAATATGTGGTTGCAGCATAATTCATTAAGAATTTTTTTACATATTGATTCTGTTGTTCATAGAGAAGAACAGAATTCAGCTGAGAATCCCGTTGTATGAGAAGTTAATTATAAAATGTCACTTGGGACAATTCTGTGTACTAGCCAAAGCAGTAGTAATAGTACTGTGTTAATTTGGTTTTTAACTCTCATTCATTCATTTATTAGTCTTGTGAATAATCTCTTGTAATGAGTAATTGTCCTACTTTCTGGTAAGATAGCTACTACTTTCTGTAACAAAGAACCTTCTTGTAATAAGACAAACTGGCCAAACTCTTAACAGATGTTTTTGCTTAGTGTTAAATTAAAAACCTTCCCATCAATCCACCATGATCAATATACCTTCCCCCATGTTGATCCCAATTACTAATATAATCTGTTTTAACATTGAGCTTCATCCATGAAAAATTATCCAAAAGTTACATTGTGTTAGGTTATGTCTTTTTTTTTGACTGTATTAAAAATGATCTTTTACTTTTCAGTTTCTGACTAAATGCCTTATCTTCAGTGATTAATTTTTTTATGTATTTGGTTGAACAGGAAAACTGTGGTATGTCTGTGTGTAATGGTAAAATATATATCCTGGGTGGAAGACGAGAAAATGGAGAAGCCACAGACACCATTCTCTGTTATGATCCTGCCACAAGTATCATCACAGGAGTGGCTGCAATGCCCAGGCCGGTGTCCTATCACGGCTGTGTGACTATTCATAGATACAATGAGAAATGCTTTAAGCTCTAAGATCACGAGATCTCCTCTCGCAAGAAGCCACGCTGATCCAAGACGAGAGGTCTTAAAAGCTCCCATTGGAAACTTGACAGATCTCCGTTATGCCACATGCAAAAAAAAAAAAAAGAAAAATAGTAAAAGTAACCATCATGGTGCCTTTCTGCCCAGCATGTCAATCTTTAAAACTGTAATAAAGTCATTTGTGTAATAACAGCAAAAACAAAACGAAAAATATGTGTAAAGGTTAATGGTGATTGTTGCTTGGCCTTTGAGAGCAGTCCCTTTGTGAGTATTTTAAGCTTCTGTAAGAAGCCTATGTGGACTAGAATGTGATGTATGCATGCCTTATAGGAATTTGTGAATGGCCTCGTCATTGAAAATATGTTTATCTGCGAAACTGTATATTCCTTATTTTGTAATTTATGTAGAGAAGATTGCATGACTTAGGCTTCCTAAGGTTAAATCACCTAATGCTTAGAATACATTCTAAGAAGGAAAATCAGTTACAAAAATCATTGTCAGTGATGCAATTTATCCAGATTGATTAAATATTTTGTAATTATTGTTAATGGCAGCAATTTGAGTATTATACTGAATTATTGTGACTTCATTCTTAGAATTGCTGTCTTACACACAAATTAAGCATATTTTGGAGAAAGGGGAGGAGTGTTCACAGGATTAAAATTGCAGGTTAGTTGCCAAGAAAAAAAAATAAAATAACCATTAAAGGCTCTTTGACTCTTAAAATCTTTCTCCATTATCTGTAACTGTTCTGAGGAGGCCTCTTCCCTTGCATCTATCAAAGGAAGGAGTTGAAAAATAGTTTGCAATATTGGGAAAAGCAGGGATAGGTTTTCTCAATCCAGCCCAGAACAGTGTGATGTCTATAGATGGCATGATGCTCTGGGTGAGAACCTCCTCGACTATGCTACTTGCTCATGAAGAAATAAAAATCCTGAGTTCCTACCGTCAAGGTGCCTTCAGTAGGATAAAGCAGGGACCACTTGTCTCAGTGGGTCCATTTTTCTTTTTTAAACTAGCTATCCTAAAAAACTAGCAAAAGCAATTTTCATTTTTTTAAGTACTTCAATTGGTACTCATTGTATAAAATACGAATTAACATTTTCAAGCTTCCGTACAACAAGCTGCTTTTGTAGATTTCTCAAGTTGAGTTTTTAAAGTTTACCAGCTTTCAGGGAAGAATGTAAATTTTTTTCTAAAGCAAATAAATGGATATAGCAGGTACCACAATAATCATTGTGATTCTGGGGTGAACAAATACAATTTATAACATTTTAGGAATGTTCTACCAGCTTTCTGTATTTTGACTTCCCAATCACTGTTTTCTGTCACACCATAATTTTATCCTCCTTGTCACAGGAGAAGTGATGCAAATGTGTGATTATAGTGTCCCCGTATTTCTGCTGAAACCAAAATGGAAATCAGAATCCTGACGTTGATAAACCGCGTTTCCCCTCATCTTAGAATGATACAGAAATCTCAAATACATTTGAAACTTTAATGCTATATATAACCTTACCTAGAGTCTAATTCTAAAGGAAACTTTTTTAAAAAAGATATTTCTACTGAATTTTTTATCTCAAATTATAAATTTGAAAATGACATATCGCTTTCTGTAATAAGTACCAGAGCAATTGCGGAAATAATTTTCTGTCATTTTAGTTGAAATACAATTGTAGATATAATTGGTATACCTGTACTGTAGTTTTACAATAAACATCTACTTCTGCATTATACTTCTGTAGATAATGGAATTTGTTTAAAAACTCTTGAAGTAAGTGAGAGTGTGAAACAAGGTGTTTTGTAAATGCTGAGGATTATATAAATGATAGTTGTTCTTTTTCATGTGTATTTGTAGTATCATACCCATCATAAACACAGAAACTTCACAAAAAAGACTCTCACAATTACTTTGTATCTGGTATTTTTGTCTATTGTAAATATATTAACTGTTTACTTGTATTTTATGTGTTTATCTTTACTAGCCATGTATTGATTGTTATAAATTTAAATGAAACCCTAAAAAAATCAGAATTTGTTTAAACATAGACCTCTTAGCAATGTTAATTTTTTTTCTACATAAAATTAAGTATTTGCAGTTTTTAATGAACTTAGCTTGAATCTTAGAAAATTTAAGTAACTATTTTTAAAGTCACCCAACTGAAATTTTAATTTCCTTTCGTTGTTTCTCTCCCCTTTTTTTTAGCTACTTTTTGATAAACAGTGGTGTCAACATGAATATAAATAAGTGAATTTTAGGATATAGTTGGTGTATCAGAAAAAAATAACCCAATTAGTATCAGATTATATTCATTCTATCATCACATAATTGATAGATCTTTTGATAGGTGACATTCAATGAGCCTTTGGATTATTATGTACGCACATCTGTATATATGAAGATAGAGGGTATAGTCATGTACACACATATATATAAACACCAACAATTTTAGCAGGTTTTTTTTTTTCAGAAAAAAAATCACAAAGTAAAAGTTAACTAACCTTATTAAATGGAATTCCAGAACATTTTGTGATGGGGACATTTCTCAGGTGCTTTTCCACCCTTTGAAAGGATACGGCCGGACGCCCACATTGGCCGTGCATCACTCTCAACTATGTAAACAATATTGACAGTAAAATTAAAAATGTAAGAATAAGAAAGAGAAAGGGCATGGTGAATATTCATAATGACTGGTATGGTTAGAATCTATATAAATACATCCAGTGTTGCAAGATAGGAAACTAAATTGGAGTTAGAGATAAATTTGTTAAACTCAGCTGTGATACCTCAAAAAGGAAATACAAGATTCTGCTTTGTGGAACAAAAGAAAAGTACTGTTAGTTTTTGCTGGGTTTTTTTCCCCTCTTTTCCTGAACTTTGATCCTTTTCCAGGATTTCCTCTGTAAATGAGCTACAAGGGGTCCAGTTTTTACAACAGAAGTGCTTCCCCCTTTCCTAATCTTCTACTGACTTTACCAGACAGGTTAGAAATGGTAGCTTATTGGATCTTCAGTAAATTTTTTCCTGGATGACTGAAATAAAGGTGTTTACTCCATTTAAACCAGGTGTTAAGACACTGTAAATACTCAGGGAGAGTATTAACTTGTGACTTTGGCCTATTGGAGGTGTTTAAAGTGCCATAACTTAAGTTTCAGTTCATGATTCTAGAGTAAATTTAATTGTGTAAAGGGGCTTCATACATGGCAGTGGTTGAATATTGATTTTTTTCTATACTTAAAAGGATGAAAATGTTTTGTGGACTGATACATTTTCCCTTAATGAATATGAATTAATGTATCACTACTGCCAAATTCCCTTTTTGAAACTCAGGAAAAACAGGTTCAATTATACTGTTTCTGTCAGTATGCAAACAAGTATGTGTGATTTTTTTTTTCCCTGTTAATCTGGATATGGCAGTTTTTTTTTTTTTTTTTTAATTGCTGTGAGAATCCATACATTGAAAGAAAGGGGTTGAATTGTTTGTGTGTGCCTTCTGTGTCTTGAGACTTCTATATGGGAAAGATGACAACTGTCCCAAACTGTATTTTAAAGAGGGAAGAATGCTGTTTATGTGCTGATAACTAAAAAAACAATGTTTCTGGTTTTTTTGTTTTGTTTTGTTTTGTTTTTAACTATTTGGGAAACAGCTCCCATCTAACCTCTCACTTCTTGAATGTGCAACGATGACCCCAGTTTGGGGTACTCCTGGGAGCTAAATCTAGGCCTCCCACGTGAGTGGCAGAAGCCCAGCACTTGAGCCATCACATCTGCTTTCCAGGGTCCCCAGTCGCAGGAAGCTGGAGTTAGAAGCCAGAATCAGGCTTTGGACCCAGGCCCTCTGATATGCACATGGGCATCTAAACTGGCTCCTTGCCAGCTAAACCAAACGCTCACCCAAGGTAATGTAGATTTCCTAGGAACTCAAGAACTGGTTAAGCTCAACATGATTTTAGCCTTATTAGATTTTGACGTGTATTGTGTTGAACCAGGTTTACATCACCTCATCCCATAGTTACACACACGGATGTGCCATACCAGGTTACCAGAATGGGATAGTTGGGTTGTCCTTTAATGCGGTAGGTTTGACTAGCTAGCTATACTTACGATCACAGCTAATGCAAGGCACCAGAAACCACTTGAGCCAGGAGTGTGAGTTGTTAATTCCAGACATATTTTCAGCATAGACATTTTAAAATGTTTTATATGAATGTTCTACATTTGCATGATTGCCTTAGATATTAAATTACTTAGTGCTAAAGATGATCATCATAAATTAATTTTTTAAAACAACCATCATAACTTATTTTATATATTATTCCAAAGAATTCCTGTTTTAATGTTTTCAAAATAACTGCACCAGATGGCTTTTTTTTTTCTGTACCTTAAGTTTTCTAGTGCCATTTCAACTTCTTTTAATTATTATATAAAGTTTACCTTAGATAAATTGATACTTGTTCCATACAGAGTAAATAAACTTCACTTTCTTGTATTTTTAACACCACGCATGTGGTTATTTGGTGGAATTAAAGTGTTAAGGGAGGTTGTTGGCTGCTTGGAGTATGATGTTTCTCATTTTTGCTTTTTGATACTTAGGTGCTTTTAGAATATTTAGATAAATCTCTATCTTACGTTTATTATGTCCTTGTAAATAGCATAGACAGTAGTCTACATCTGTTGGGAAAGTCTTATCTTCTTATTTTTGTTCCATTGTTACAATACTAATTTTTTTCTAGAGGCTTTTTCTTTAACTTTCTTGAAAAGGCAATTACTCTGCCCTTCCCCATTAGGCCCACCTCCTCTCCCCTCCCCCCCCCCCAAAGCTTTCTTTAAGCTTTTTTGGGTTTCTGGAGCTAAAGCAAGTAGTTTTGGAATCCAATGAAAGTCTAATCTGCAGAGTGCAGGCCTGTGGCAGTCAAGTACCATTTACCTCCAGTAGAGACCTAGACTTCCCCAGGAGAAAAAAAACGCTTTGTATTTCACTGTCCTCTATTCAGTTGTAGCATGTTAATACTTACATGTTTTGTTTAAATATACTTGCATAGTTTAATTTTTTAAAAGTTGTATCTAATGTCTTTTAACCATTATTACTTGACCATATGGTTATATTAAATTTTGTTTACCAAAATGTGGCCTTCTGTGTTATTTTACCTATTTCAAAGTGGTTGTAACAAAAGATATGGGGAAATAGATATTAATATGTGTATACATTTACTAGTTCATCCATAAAATAACTAGAAGGATAAATATACAATATAAAAACATGAGTGAATAAATACTTATTTGTATCTGCAAGACAGTGACAGACCTTTCACTTGCTGTTTCACTCCTCAAATGTCTACAAAGCTGAGTCTGGATGAGACTAAAGTCTGGAGTCAGGAACATTGTTTCATATGGATGACAAAAACCAAAGTACTTGGACTACCACCTGCTGCCTCCTAGGTGCAGTAGCAAAAAATTGGATTGGCAGCAGAGCCCAAGCATTCAGTTGAATGGTGCTGGTGTTCATAGTAGCAACTCAACCACTGAGCCAAACACCTGCCCCATGATATTAACTACTGGAGAAGCAATGTCTTAGTCTGTATTAGCAAAAGTAAAATTTTGAAAAAAAATAATAGCTCATATAAGCATAAGAAATACAGGCCCGGCATGGTAGCCTAGCAGTTAGAGTCCTTTCCTTGCACATTCCAAAATCCCATAAGGGCGCAGATTCTAATCCCAGCAGCCCTCTTCCCATCCAGTTCCCTGCTTGTGGCCTGGGAAAGCAGTCGAAGACAGCCCAAAGCCTTGGGACCCTGCACTTGCCTGGGAGACCTGAAAGAATTCAAAAAGACCTTTAGTACCTGTGCAATTGAGCCATCCCTTGGGATGCCCACATCCTATTTGAGAGTATTATTTAAGTCCCCACTACTCCATTTCCTGTCCAACTTCATGATAATGCACTTGGAAGTTGGTGGAAGATGGTCCAGCTACTTGGTCCCTGTCACGTTGCAGATAGATGAAGTTTTAGGTTCCTGCCTTTGACCTGCCCAACCCTTGCTGTTATAGGCATTTGAGAAGTGAACCAGTAGATGAAAATTTTTCTATATTTCTGGTTTTCAAGTAGATGAAAATCAATAAATTTTTAAAAATTTGTTAATTTAAAAAAAACAGGACATTTCAGTTGTTTGGTAAATATAATACAGTCTACAAACCCAAGTTCTAGCAAGGAATTTATCCAAAGAGGTAAAGCTTTGCCTGTGTACATCTTTTTATTTTGGAAAACATGATACATCTCCAAGTGGAAAAAGGAAGCGGTTTTTTGTTTAATTATATCACTTGTTTAACATGACGTAATGCCAAAGATTGTTAGGCTTTATTGGAATTCTATGTCAGCAGGTGGGTAAAAGGAGGCAGCAAGACAAGGCAGATAGTGACTCTTCTAGAAGAAACTTTCCAACATACGGTGGTGGCCCATCCAATCCCCAACTTCAGAGAATGTAATTGACTAGATGATGCTCAGCTTCTGGCTTTGAAATCTTAGAGTTTGTGCTGAGGAGCCCCTGTTCTGGGAGACACAGGCCTCTTGGTGAACTTGGCTCCAGAACTCCCCTGCTTCTTTTCCCCTGCACCGCTCCCAGCCTTCATTAGCAACATGGCCATGTAAGATGCTTCTGCTGACCTTACTTGCCTCACTTGCTTTGAGGTGGAGGTGGGGGTGGGGCGGGGGGGTGCAACTTGTCTCCCAAAACTGTAAAATGGCTCTCCCAGCCTCCTCTGATTCTCCTCTATGTTTTCTCTCACAGAGCATTTTTCCTGCACATTTTAAATGAAGTATTACTTTTTAAAGATGTATTTATTTTTATTGGAAAGGCAGATAAACAGAAGCAGATGCAGAGAGAAAGGTCTTCCGTCCATTGGTTCACTCCCTAAGTGGCTGCGTAAGTTTCCACTTAGCTTCCTTTTGCTTTCATTTCCTTCATTCAATGACTTTCCTTATGACCACTTCTTGAGCTCCAATTTTCCAACAGTTCTCCATGCACATCCTTAGCTTAACCATTATCCTGCCCCATCTTGTACTCCTTAATTAAAATGTCATTAAGTCACTCTCACCAGCACTTCAAATGTGCTCACTCTTTTGATCTCCCATTCCATTTACTCCCCTGCCGCCTACATGTGTGTCAATCCAGTTTTTGGCTTTCTCAGCTCCTATGCCCAAGCTGTTGAGCACTGTTGAGCACTGATAGAAAAAATCATCCACAAGCAGATACCACTAGAGTTTGTGATCTCCAGTCTCAGCTGGAAAAGGTATTCTTAGCAAGCTTTCAGGGTGTACTTAGTTTGTTCTCATTCATTTTCATTCCTCCCCCCTCCCCTGCCCCCATAAAACTGTTCCTTAGGCTCTGGGATTTCCTTCCAACCTTTCCCTTTCCTCTCGTCCTTCACTGTTTCTGCCGGTATTATAACACTAATACAGTCTTTCAACAATAGTCACAAGTCCTTCATTCTTCTATTTCAGCGTATCCTGACATTGTAGGTGTAGACAATGGTATAAAACGGTGTGGGTGTTGGATTAAAGGTACTCTAATTCAGTGTTGGTGGGAGTGTAGGCTTGTACAACCACTATCAAATTCAGTATGGAGTATGCCGAGACAACTGAAAATTGATCTAGTGTATAATGCAGCTATCCCACTTTGGGAAATTAAAAGGAAGTGAAACCTGCATATGAAAAAGTGATCTGTAATCCTGTATTTACAGCAGCATAATCTATAATAGCAAAGACATGAAAACAACCCAGATGCCTATCAAAAGAAGAATGGATTCCGCTTTCCCTTAAACAGTTTATCATTCCCCTGGCATCTTCCTCTGCCTTCTCCTTTGACTCAGCTGTTGATCTTGCCTTCTCCTTCAAAAAGAAAATAAAGTATATGAAGTAAGAGTTCTCTCAACATCTTGTCGTCTCAAGGACTGGATATTTCCTGTTCTCTCTTTTTCGTGATTGGTTATGCCCACCAGCACTTAAATTTCTCCTTTAGGGGCCAGTACAGTAGCATAGTGGCTTAAGTCCTCGACTTTTATGCACCAGGATCCCATACGGGCATTGGTTCATGACCTAGCTGCTCCACTTCCCAGCCAGCTCCCTGCTTGAGGCCTGGAAAAGCAGTCTAGCATGGCCCAAGGTCTTGGGATCCTGCACCCATGTGAGAGACCTGGAAGAAGCCCCTGGTTCCTGGCTTTGAGCTGGCTCAGCTCTGGCCATTGCAGCCACTTAGGTAGGGAGTAAACCAGGGATGAAAGATCTTTCTCTCCATTCTTCTCTCTCTAAATCTGCATTTCTGATAATAAACCTTAAATTTTTTTCTCCTTCAGTTTCTTAGGGATTTCCCTCTATCCTTCTTTCTCATGTTCAGCCTGCTTATGAGCATTTCTTCCTAGAATTTAAATATAATCTAGTTTCTCCAGTCTTGAAATTTTTTTTTTAAAGATTTATTTTTGGGCCCAGTGTGATAGCCTAATGACTAAAATTCTCGCCTTCTATTGGCTAGGATCCCATGTGGATGCCAGTTCTTGTCCTGGATGCTCCACTTCCTATCCAGCTTCCTACTTGTGGTCTGGGAAAGAAGTTGAGGACAGTCCAAAGCCTTGGGACCTTGCACCCACATGGGAGACCTGGAAGAGCTCCTAGCTCCCGGCTTCAAGTGGTCTCAGCTCTGGCCACTGCAGCTACTTGGGGAGTGAACCAGCAGATGAAAAATCATTCTCTCTGTATCTCATTCTCTATGTAAATCTGACTTTCCAATAATAAATACATAAATAAATCTTAAGGTAAAGATTTATTTGTTTTGATTGGAAAAGGAGATCGTATGTATATATATAGAGAGAAAGAGACAGAAAGGTCTTCTCTCTTGAGGTTTACTCCCCAAACAGCCACAGCAGCAGAGCTGAGGCGACCCAAAGCCAGGAGCCAGGAGCTTGTTCCGGGTCCACCACACAGGTGTTGGGTCCCAAGGCTTTGGGCCATCATCCTGTACTGCTTTCCCAGGCCACAAGAAAGGAGCTGGCTGGGAAGTGGAGCATGCAGGACATTAGGATTTAGCTATTGAACCATCGTACTAGGACTTTAAACACTATTATACAGGGCCCAGAGCAGTGTCCTAATGGCTAAAGTCCTCACCTTGAGCACACCCATCCCTAAAGGGCATCAGTTCTAATTCTGGCAGCTCCATTAAACATTAAACATTAAAGAAATGTTGAAAAAAGACCCTAAAATTCATATGGAACCACAAAGACCCCAAAATAACCGAAGTGATCAATTCAAATAAGTAAAGATAGAGACATCAGAGCACTTGATTTCAAAGCATAATCGTAGGAATTAAAACAGCATGATACTGGCATAAAAAACGGACACATTGATCAAGGAAACAAAACACAGAACCCAGAGGTGCCCCCAGATAACATGCAGCCAGATGATATTTGTAGTTTTAAAGATTTTCTAGCTACAGGCATTGTGGTAGAGAAGGATTCTCACATAACATGTCAGAATAGCCGTGGAGTCCAGACTACTGCACCTG